TGTTCTGTTTTTCGGGGATGGGAGGGGGCAGAGCTGACTGTCAGTGCTGTGCGCTCACAACGCCTGATCAAAAGCATATTCTGGAAACACGCATGTCATCCCCAAAGTTCTGGTTCCCTTCCTTGACGTCAACTCACCACCCTCTCCCTCCCTCCAAGGTTGGCGCCATCGCCGCGCACACAGCCTCGGCCGTCATCGCCCGCCACGGGCCCCAGCTCGACCCCTCAGACGCACGTAGGGTGGTGCTGGCCGCCGCGCGCGCCGCCGTCGCGGACGCCTCGGCTCCGACTGCGGGCGTCAAGGGGGCCGCGGTCGGCGGCAGTGGTGGTGGCTGCTCCCTGATGAGCGTCCTGGAGGCGAGGGCGCTGCTGGGGGCTGAGGAGCGGGCAGCGGCCGGGGGCCCTGACACCGAGAAAGGGACGGAGCCGTCGAGGTAGGAAAGGACTTGACTGCGGAGTCGATCTCCAACGAGCCGCTCGGGACGCGGCCGGCCGGACGGTGCAGCGCCCCGTGGGTGCGCCTGGGCCCGCCAAGGGTGGGGCCGGCGCCAGCTGCGGCTGAGCTCCACCGACTGGGCGGGCGGCCCTGGTTTTGTGCGCGTTTTCCCTGGACATGTGCATGAACATGCGGGGCCAGCTCGCAGCACCTGGTTGAGGGATTTTCAACTCACTTGGCGTCTGCGTAGAGCACGTGCACTGCCCTCCGTACGCCTGCAGTCCCCATGCGACCCGTGCCCCTGAGCTGTCCCTCGGGTTCGCACGGAAATTGGCAACAATGGCCGTTACAAAACAGCAACATACAGCGCCGCTGCCGCGGCCGCGATTGCCTTGCTTCATCCCTGGCCTCTTATGCCCCTGCTGCGGAGCCATGGGTGCCAAGTGGCTGAGGTCTCCAGAGCACGTGTTCCCTGTGCTCGCATGGTTGGCGTCTGTGTGCTTGGTTTCGAACTGCCATCTTGGCCAAACTGATCCGCTTCGTCCAATCACCTGATACAATCATCCAGATGCTTCTGCTGTGTTGGTGTGTGACCGCGGCAGCACGCTCAATTCGCCTCTTGCAGCGCAGCGCACCCGTCACACGCCATCCCCCCGAACGGCACAGCCATGAGCATTGAAGAGCAGCGCGCGCAGCGGCGCGACCCGCCCCCCCGTCACCTGCGGGGACGGCGCCGCGCCCCCCGTGCACAGGATCGAGCTGGGGTGATGTGTGGCCCCCGCCGACCTATTGAAAATGGTTGTGAGAGCAAGAGAGCCGAGTGCTGCACCGCACCCCACTGCGGGCCAGGGGCCAAGCGGACAGGCGGGCCTTGCCGCTGCTGCCTGCCCTGCCCCAGTGAGCCGGTGCTCTGTCTGGTGCAGTGCCAATGTACCACTATAGATTGTCCTTTGCGCACCTTGGCCTGCTGCGATGATGTACCACTACCCATTGGCATCTGCCAGCGATCCTTGCTGGAACTAGCGAGAAGCCGTGCGCGGCACCCCGTCTGTTGGTGCGTGTGCTGCGCAGCCTCGCAACAGCAAGCCCGCTCTGGCTCATTGCAGCTGTTGCCTCGTCCGATCCCTCCTCGCAAACAGCCTGATACAAGCGTGCCGCGCCTGTTTCCCATTTCAGAGGGGCGCACGCGCGGTGTGGTGATTGATGATGGCACAGGGGTCGGTTCGGCCGCGGCTTGCAATGTACCCCCTGCGACCTTGTGCGATTTTTTGAGGCTGGCTGCTGACCCCTGTGAGCGAGGGGCCCCTTGCCACGCCGGCATACAACATGAGGGAGCCGCGGCTCCCCTTGCCGAGGCAGGCGCACCTGGGCTCCGCGGGAACACAGCAGGCGTACTGCCGTACTAAAGCAACGCACTCGCCCTGTGTCCTAGGGCGGTCGTGCGTCGCGCAGTAACACGTGACTCGATGGACAAGCCGCTCTGCCACACCTGACTGCTGGCCAGGGTGAAGCCTTGGCGCGAAAGCGGCTGCACCGTGCCGCACCAGCTGCACAGCATTGCAGCCGTCGCGCGCAGGTGCTGCAGTTGCAGCCTGCTCCACCCTATGGGCGTCGCGCACAACAGCGTGCGCGGCCAGGCGGCCAGCGCTTCCTGCGCTCCTGCCTCTGCCAGCCACCATTCGTTGATTGCCCTATGAACAGGCCCACCTCACCGCGCAGGCACCCCCCAGGGCCGATGCCACGGGGCGAGTTTGAGGTCAGCCGCAACCCCAGAAAACGTAGAGCCGGCGGTCTGGGTGGTTACAGATGGGTGGCGTGGGGCTGCGACCAACGAGCATGAGAGAAAATTTGAGGCCCTCGGGAAAAAATGGAGGGGTCGCCCCTCGAGGCCACCTTGCGAGGTGCTTCACTCGGGAGGTGCCGCTCCTGTCGAACAGTAGTAAGTGCACATGCGATGGAATCCAGAATGCGCTGCTCGGCTCAAGTATGTGACAACGCGCGAAGAACCGCCCCCGTGCGCGAAAGGCTGGCAAAATGCGGCACACGGGGCCAGCTTGCAGCACTCGCAGTGAAGCGGTGGCAAGTTGGGCGAGGGGGAACAGGGCGTAGGCAGCAGGCTTCGTGCTGCATGTATGCGCCCTGGCCCCTCTTAACAGGGAGCTGGATGAAGGGGAGCAAAATCGTTGGGGTGCTGTTGCAACAAAAAAGCAGCCCTGCCTCAGCAGCTGCAGCCAAGAAAACCAGGGAAAACATGGAGACCTGCCGGTGCTCTTGTCCCGCCGCGGGCCGCGCGTCCAAAGGGAGCGGCGGCTGTCACTGCTGAGGCAGCTCCGGCAGCGGCGGCAGCAGGACCCGGGACTGCTGCTGCTGCTGCTGCTGCTGCTGCGTCGGCGTCGGCGGCCGCGCCGCGAACGTGGACACGCTGCGGAGGTCGGCTGACGCCATGTGGAATATGAACGAGGGGAAGTCCTGGCGGCTGACCAGGTGGTCAGAGTCCGTGTCTGAGGCTGGGGGTTGGGGGGACGAGGATGGGGTTGCGGGTGGGATGACCAGGAGGGGGGTCAGTGTGGTGGATGCGGGTGCCGAGAGGGCGGGGAAAGGG